ATGACACGAAAGCTAAGATATTAGCACTAAAAAGTCAAAATCAGAACTACCATTCTACAACATTGCAAATACCACCCTCTTTTTTCTGCAAATGGCACCTCCTTTTAGGCAAATGGCACCCTCTTGTAAGAATTTTTTCTCCCTTTTTTGACAGAAATTGGAACGGTTCAATTTTTAGGCCTTTGAAATATCACCCAATGAAATCGGAACAGTTGGGGAGGTATGCTACACCAAGCATTGTGTGTGGACCCTGCCCTGTTCATTACAGCAGCGTTGTATGGTATACCAATATACACTACTCAAACATAAAGGGTCAGACATTTGTCTTTGAAAATTTCAGCTAGCTGTCTATTTTATTGATACAATGAGAAATAATGCGTAACGTGTGTCAGAGTCCAATGAGCCCCAAGCTTGACCAAGAGAGGGCCCAATTTTCTTGATGACAGAGCCTCCTTTTAATAGTGAGAAATGAACTTCGCTGGTTACAAACAACTTAAAGAAATGTATCAGTCTATTTTTTTGGATAGTTACAAAATATGTGATTTTGGGGCAGATATACAGACAGATGTATGCATTATTTTTTCTGAAACAAAAAAGTCTCATAATTTGTTCACACTGAGATACATGTACATGTATGTATCATATCTTCAAAGTGCTTCATTTCTCTACTGTAATAATTTCAGAATACAAAATAGGACCCTCACATTATCAGGATATCATTCTAACCCATATAGTGTCCTCACATTAACGAGATATCATTCCAACAACTTGTATAGTGTCCTCACATTAACAGCATATCATTCCAACGACTCATATAGTGTCCTCACATTAATGGGATATCATTCCAACAACCCATATAGTGTCCTCATATTAACAGGATATCATTCTAGCAACTCATATTCTCCCCAAACTCCACTTTCATCATTTTTAGGGCTGTGTAGGAGACCTGGACAAGGTGCAGGCCAAAGTGTTTTTCAGTGTCATGGGACTTCAGTACTCTGCAGAGAATGTTTGCCATTGGACTTGAACTAATACATTTTTCTTGTTTTGTTGCCAGAACATAACCACATTACATGACACTCATATTTCTTATGATGTGAATCCTTTTTAAAAAATTCTGATTCTTTTGCGTCGTGTACAAATGCAGATAGACTCGCTCCATCACATACTAAGGTGGAAGCACGGAACTGCATCTCTGA